TGGGCATGCTCAGGGGGGGGTTAGTCTTGGGGCCTAAATATGTACCTATACTTAGGGTTTAGGGTTTAGGGTTTATGGTTTCGCAGATGCATCGGAGGTGCCACTGCAGGTCTTAAGTGCGTGTCATCATCTTGCGCAGGGTCTGCCATGCTAATCTTTACGAATCGCACGACAAAACCCGGCCGCTCGAATTTGTTTTCCGCTTGAGCCACGATTCATCAGTACAGATGCTGGCTTCTGTGCACACAGCTAACACAAGTGATCGTTGATCATCTACACTCCTCCTCGCCTCTCGGATTCTTATCCTAGAGGCGCATCTACAAGCATGAGCGGGCGATCACGGTCACAGTAACGGCACAACCTATAGGACTTTGCAGGCCCTGTTGAATTCCGTTGCCCATGACATCCCGCAACTGTATGAATGCAGTCACCGGCCGGAGTGGCATAGAAAGGCCCATCAAACCCTCGAAGCCTTCGTGCATCTATCCAATTTGGCCCTCTGCAATCATCAGTCTGTGTTGCCGTAGATCTCGTCAAAGTAGTAGTCTGCCTTGGGAATGAGGATGCCGAACTTGCCGGATCATTCCTCACTGGCGTACCATAGATCTCTGTAGTCCTTTTCTGAGTGGGTGGAGTCATAGGTTCCTCTTTCACGCGCTTACGTAGTTCGCTCATCACTGCATTTTCGGCTCTCTCCTTCAGTCTCTCGATTCTTCGCTTCTTTTTATTCCACGCTGTCCATGAAGAAGACACAAAGTTTAGAGCCCTTCGGAGCAGCTCCCATGCACCCACGCAAGCAACTCCACTTATGAGCACAACGAAGTACAACTCGAAGGAGGTGTCCAGGGGAAGGTCATCCTTCAACTCGGCTCGCGCTCCCTGGATCATCAGCATGCACACCATCATGAATAACATAACACTTCTTGCATCTATCCTCCTAACAGACTTCACTGTGTTCTTCAAGACGTCATGCCCAAAAGGAACAATCTTCCATAGCTCCAACAGCGACTTGAACTTTGGGACATCGAAGCTCTTTGTACCCAGGTCTGCTTTTTGCAAACTTCCTGGCACGTGACTCATTGTCAGTCTTTGGCCAGCCACCTCTTGTCTCAAGAACCTAGCCCTTAGACGCAAGTGACGTGTCTTCCAGCTTCCCGGTGCCTCTGACGCAAGCCCTTGAGCAGCTGCATTGTCGATCTTCAAGTGGATAACCGGCTTCTCGCCCAACTCGCTAAGCATCGCCCCTACCCCCAGGCCCAACTGAACAGCCGACACCGCTTCATATAGCTCTGCTTCTGCCACCGACAGCGTTACTATCGGCTGTTTTGACGCCTTCCAGCAGATTGGCATGCCATGTAGTTGTGCCATAATGCAACCAAATGAGCGCCCTCCTCCTGGAGCATACGATGCATCCGAGTACACCGTGAGCATAGTCTCCTCAAAGTCGATCACGTAGTGCAAGCCGTACTCCGCGGTCCTGGCGAGGTAGTTCATCACTCGTTTTGCTATCTCCAATGTCTTGGCCGGATTCCTTGTAGATCTTGACGCCATACATGCCACCGGATGGGCCAGCTCTGGTCTCGACCGTGTAGACAACCACAGCAACTCCCCTGTAGCCTTTTGGGCCAACCGTACAAGGCCTTCATCCGCCGTCTTTTCTTCTTCATCCGAGTCCTCGTCTTGCAGCCATTCACGCGTGCACGGAACTGTCAAGTTGCCCGGCTTCTCCTCCACACCATGTTGACGTAGTAGATCACGAATGTAGCCGGTCTGGGATACGTGAATTCCTTCTCCCATTGCTCTGAGCTCCACCCCCAAGAACCTTAGGGAGTCCTG